CACAGGAGATTTTGTGTGACGATAAACTTTAGATTTCTGGCAACTTATACATCCTTTTGACCATATGTTTATCTCCTTGTTCATACAAGGCCAATAATACTTCTTCACAATTAATCGGCGTGTAGCCTTGGTACCAGGATGAGCAATTCCATGTAACATATCGAACACTGTCCTGCGCAAATTATTTGGAACGAAAGGTCTAGGACTTTCTCCTGACACTTCACACCAAATATTAAAATTTAGAATAGGAATTTTAATTAAATTAAGATTTTGAAACGTTTGTCCAGAAATAAGTTTATTAAGTTCACTGTCTTGTTGCTGTTCACTCTGTAAAATTTTGAAATTAAGTTCTGAATTTTTAATCACATCTATTTCAAACGCACGAGATAACGTGTCAGCTACAATGTTGGTCTGTCCTTTAATAAACTGTATGCCACTAGTAAACTGTGCAATAAACTCAAGATGCCTTGTCTGTCTTGGACTACGCTCAGTTTTGGAATTTAGAACAAAAATCAAGGATTTGTGGTCAGTAAAAACCTTCTAATAAATACCGAAAATGTTTAATATTCAAATAAATTGCTAAAAGTTCCCTGTCAAAAGCACTATATTTCATTTCTGCTGGAGAGAGTTTCTTTGAAAAGAACGCAAGTGGTTCAGACTTATTATTGAAATGCTGCTGTATGACACCACCAATTACTGTATTGGATGCATCTACCGTTAAAGACAATTTTGCATCTTTACTAAAATGATTTAGCAAAATCTTAGATGCAAACTTCTCTTTAATGCATTCAAAAGCTTTAATGGATTTGTCACCCCAAACCAAAATTTTGTCTCGCTTTTTACTTGTTTTATTAATTAAATCATATATAACTCCAGTAAACTCAGCTAATTTTGAAATATATCTATGGTAATAGTTAACCATACCAATAAACTTTTGCGCTTGTTTTATTGACTTCGGTCGTTCAAAATTGCGAATCGCTTCTACTCTGTTTACAGAAGGCTGTATCCTTGCCTCAGATAAACAATGTCCTAAAAAATCTATACTTGGAACACCAAAAATGCATTTGCTTGGTTTGACGTTCAAACCATACTCAGACAAACGTTCGAAAAGTACCCGTAGATCCTTTAAATGTTGTTCTTCACTCCCACTTGCAACCAGTAGATCATCAATATACGCGAAAACAAAATCTAATTTACCTACTACTTCGTTGATGAATCTCTGAAACGTTTGCGCTGAGTTCCTCACCCCGAAAGGCATTCGGGTGAACTCAAACATACCGAAAGGAGTAGTAATCGCCGTTTTAAAAATGTCTTCTTCTGCCATTGGAATTTGGTGATACGCTCTAACTAAATCTAACTTTGAAA